GCCTCCATGAACGGTATGCTGATGTTGAGCTGCTTCAACATTGCCATAAACTTGGCAAACTTAGTCTCCGACTTGTCTTTGTGTAGGCGAGTGGGGAAGGGAAGCTGGGGCACACGCTCCTTAACCACTGGTTGTGGCTTGGGAGCAGGGGCTTCCTTCTCCACCCGCACTTCTGCATCGTCGGCTGGAAGTGCTGAAGGAGGTAGTGGTTCCTCCTGTCTGGTCGGGACAGGATCAGCAGATATGGTCTTACCGCTCCTGGTAAAAATGGCATCCAGCTGCTGGAGCTGGTGAGGATCCCGAGGATTCGGGATAGTGCTGACGGGCAGAGTCCCCGGTGCCCTGGTAGTGTTTTGGCGGGCCAAGATACCCACCTGGTGCTGCAGATCTTGCAAGATGGCACCCTGGTTCCTCTGACCTGCCTCCAGTGATGTGATAGCTGCCTGAGTGCTAGTCATGAATGAAGCTAGAATATTTTCCAGCTTTGTCATCCGGTCATCTGGGGCCGGAGCTGCTGCTGGCTCGGCAAACTGGCGCTGGGGCTGCTGGAATGGTTGCCCCTGCCTAGGCTGGTAGGGCTGCTGCTGTGGGGCTGGCCCCTGTCGAGCCTGGAAGGGCTGCCTCTGCTGAAAGCCACCAGCTGGTGCTGGGAAACCAGGTGGCTTGGTGGTGTTACTGCCCCAAGAGAAGTTGGGATGCTGGCGCCACCCCTCATTATATGTGTTGCTGTACGGGTCGAGGCGCCGAGCATTGGCGATGAAGTCCAACTGCTCTTGGGGAGTGGTAGACTCCCTCATAGCCTGGAACTCCTCCACTAGGTGATTGGAGCTCTCACACCACTGACATTGAGCTACTGGAGGTGTAGCCAAACCTCTGCCCGGAATAAGACTGTTGGGCTGCTTCAATGTCTGCACTAGCTCAGCTACCTGCTGCTCGAGCTCGGATCTGGTCTCCATGGCGTGCACACCACGGTCCCGGGACTGTCTGCCTCGGCTACCCTGTCCCCAAGAATGATCTCTGGCAGCCAAAGTACTGATCATCTGGTTCAGCTCGGGTGGAGTCTTAGTAAGAATATCCCCTCCTGGGCATAGAGACTCAATCACCCTCTGGCTATCCGGAGAGAGGGCACTGTAGAAGTTCCCCACTGTGAATGCATCACTGAAGCCATGATGGGGACACTGCCAGAAATAGCCCATGTACCGCTCCCAAGCATCACGAAGTGACTCATCTGGCTCTTGGCGGAAGTGAGTGATCTCCCGCTGGATCTCTATAGTCTTTGATGCCGGATAGTACCTGTGCACGAACTTGTCAGCCAGATCATCCCAAGAGGTGATGGACAATGGGGCCTGGGTCTCCAACCACCTCTTAGCATTCCCCGCCAGAGAATGAGGGAAGAGATGAAGGCGGATGGCATCATCCGGGACACCATTCAGCTTGAACCCGTTCGTCAGCTGCAGAAAACGGGAAAGATGCACCCTGGCCTCCTCATCCTTCAAGCCATGGAACTGGATAGAGGATGTGATGAGCTGAATCCAACATGGCTTGATCTCGAAGTTATTTGCTGGAATAGGCGGGTAGAGGATGACCGGGCGGATGTCAGCAATCCGAGGAGTGTAGTAGTACTCCAAGGTGGGGGCCGGCTGCGGTGGATGATGAACTCCATGATCCTGGGGTATGGGGTTGTTCCCCAGGACCTGATTCACCGGGGGAGCCTGCTGAGGATTCCCTTGGTGCTGATTGTAGTCTCCGTCCATCCCGTACTCTTCTTCAGAATCGCTACTCAAGTGGCCGTCTAGGTGCTCGTCCGTAGCCAGTCTAGCTCGCTGTTGTCTCCTGAGTTGGCGACAGGTGCGGTCAATCTCTGGATTCAACGGCAGTAAACCTCCTGACTGGCTACGGGTCATGCACTACCTGCACACACTCAAGCAAGCAAACCCGTGAAGGCACAAGTGGGACAAAGCAAACAAAGCAAAAAGAAAAGCTAAATTAACAGAAATCACTTTTCTTCAACAACCTAGCCGTCCCCGGCAACGGCGCCAAAAACTTGACTCACTTCTACTGTCACTCCAGGAATTGGCCAAGTGAAACCACTTCCTAAAGCGTAGTATAGCGGGTTTGGGTTTAATTATCAACCCGGGTCCTAGATCTGATGACTACTCAGTGAATTCTTGTTATCTAGCAATGAAACTGGAATGCAAGTCTAAACTATCAAACAAACAAAGCAAGTAAACTGTTGTATTCAGGTTAAGAGAGGTCACCCGGATATAGTTCCCCCCAGACTGCAGTTAAGCCGGATTGTAATTACCAAGTTCAGTTTCTATGAAAGTTATACTGCGGAAGGTTCTTAAACAGCCTGAAGTCTCGACTAAAGGTCTTCAGACCCTCTCAATCTGAATCTCTAGCGGGCGACTAACCTCCACCGGAGTAGACAGATTGAGGCCCTAAGAACGAAACCTCCACTACCAGAGTAAATCCGGTACAGAATAGTGAGTTGGTTCCTCGACTAAAGTCACCAACTCCCTACCTTCAATCAAGGATACTCTATTAACCTAGTCAGATATTCTCATTCTAGGTTAAAGCAGAAACAACAGGAATTTGATCAGGATTCAAGTCATTCAATCAATCAAACCTCAATCGAATATAATCAACTCATAGAATCAGTACTTGGGTTCATACAATCAAACCTAACATACAAATCTAGGGTTCTCCATACCCAGATGAATGGGAGAACTACTCCATGGAGAAAGAAGCAAAAGCAGAATCAGACGCGGAATTCATACTGTGAAGGATGGATTCCTGCTCCTGGACGTTGATTGGCACTTCTCCAAGCTCAAACTGGCCTCCAATGGTGATGAAGATCAATCTAGGGCACTTGGAGACTCTTGTTCGTCGCTTTCTCTCTCTAGGAATCGCTCTGTCTCTCTAAAACTCGAATCCTCTTCTGTTTGGCTGAAAATCTGCTTAAAAAGGCATCAGTGGCCAAAGCACGGTCGAGGGCACGGCCGTGCTTTGCCTCAGCCCGCCCGTGCTTTGGCTAGGGTTAATTACACGGCCATTGTGTTGGTGCAAACATGGTCGTGCTTTGGGAGAACACGCCCGTGCTTTGGGAGAACACGCCCGTGCTTTGGGAGAAAACGCCCGTGCTTTGGGAGAACACGGCCGTGCTTTTGTGAAGCACGCCCGTGTTCTATCTCAGCCCTGCCCGTGTTTTGGCCAATGTGTTCCAAAGTCGAATTAGCTCTCGGCAGTAAAAGCACGGTCACAGAACACGGCCGTGTTCTGTTTTAGGTGTGCCCGTGTTTTGGCTCCAGCTCACCGAAATGACTTCCGAATGCCCCGAAACTCGTGCTTAGCCTTTCCTTTGACGTCAGGGACCTGAATATGACAAAATAGCACAACCCGGCGTAAAATAGGCCAAAAATACACGACTATGCCCCTCAAACGGATAAGAACTAGGGGCGCAAATTCATGCAATTACATCGTTATCATATTCCCAGCCTTCCCTCGAGCCCCAAACCTTCAGAACGTGGAAGAACTTCCCAGCTTCAACATATACCATCCAAGTCCCATTTCCATTAATCCAAACGTAAGATACATGCTTGCAAAGAGGGCTACCCAGAACAGTGTTATGACTTAGCCAAAATCTAGAGGTCATCGAATGGGTGTAGGCAGCTTCTTGGGCAAGCAATGCAGACTTGTAGAAGATCGTAGTTGGGATCATATCAGATCTATAGACAAAAAATAACATGAATGGCCTCTTATCTTCTACTAGAATCTGTATAAAATGTTCCCCTTCTTCAACTTGAGTAACCTTCAATCCTGCCCTCCAAAAAATCCAACACTCACCCCAATTTGGATTTAGAGTTATATCTAAATGTTGTCAGGAAGAAAAAGCACATATATCTATTCTCTTCAACCTCAGCTGCTCTAAGACGGCTGAGTGTTTATCAGGGGAATTGAATTCCCTAATATTACAACTAAGCAACTTCATTTACCTATCTTTTCCCTCTTCCTCTCCCTTTAAGAGGCAAATGAGGAGTGATCATTGCTGGTCTAACTCTTGCTCGACTTCTCATCAGGCTCCGATATGTCCTGTCATCTAATAATGTCTGCCTCTGATTGCCCTTCTATTTGAACCAGAGCAAATCCACATTTTTTGCTTTCTGTTAAGCACCAAAGTAAAGCCATCATTACCCACCAGGCCACTTCTCGGGGAAGAGGTTTGTGACACTAATTGATTCATTGCCATATCAGGTGAAACTTCCTCAGCAACCTCCTTCTCTTTCTCTTGTGTATCTTTTGAATCATGACGCGCCTTCCCCTCAACTCTTTTAGCAGCCTGAGATGCCTTCTCCTGAACTACTTCTGTAGCCTGAGAATTATCCTTCAGAATTTCATCTATTGCATGGGAAACAGTTTCCTGGTTTACTGGAACCTTACCTATCGCAGGTATTTTCTTGGCCCATACTGAATCATTTCAATATCATTATCAATATTTTTGAGATGATTATTAATTATATAAAATATTTCAGTTATAATATTAAATGTAATTATCAATGATATACATATACTATATCATTACTGACATTTTCTTGCAATTTTTCATTATAGTTTTTGTAGCTCTCATTGTTCGAATAAAGTGTGCTATTTTTCATAGTTTAAGTATTACTAAATAATATTTAAACTATGAAAATGTTTCATTCAACTCTAATATCTCCTATAAGAGTGTTATTGACGCAGTTGGACAAACAACAAGGCTCGCAAACGCCAAACCTGCTCGAACAAAGCTTGCCAGCGCAAGCTTAAAAGATTTTCTTGAAATCAACCAGAGGAAAACCACTAGGGTCTGATAATTAAAGTTAAAAGTTGAGTCTCCCAACTAAAACTAAGGCTGCTTAAATACTACTACAGCCCAAATACCCTATCCGCTAATGTCTAGGACAAATTAAAAGAACTAAATGAACAATAAAAATAATCAACGAAAACATGTCCATGCCGCCTTACTCGTCTCTCGCCAGCTCTTCCTTGACTCGAATGGCTTCCTTCAGCTTGCTCTCCAACAGCCCTGCATCAGTCTCATCCACCTGGTGAGTACTCAACCCCGAGTCCAAGTCAGGATAGATGGCAACATCTTCATGAAACTCGTAGATATCGGCCACGTTAAAGGTGTTGGAGATATTCACAGAAATTGGCAGGTCGGCTACGTAAGCATTATCATTAATCTTCTTAATCACCGTATAAGGACCATACTTGCGGGGCTGCAGCTTCGAATAGGTACCAACAGGAAACCTCTCCCTCCGAAGGAACACCATGACCGAATCACCAACATCGAAAACCTTCGCGTGGCGATGTGCATCGGCAGCAGCCTTGTTTTTCTGTCTGGTGGCTTCGAGCTTGGCCTTGACAGCATCCTTAACAGCTTGCACATCATGCGACATGCTTGCAGCGGCCTGGCTCACACTGGGGGCCTTAGGAAGTGTGACCAGATCAACGACATACCGTGGCGGGGAGGTATAAACAAGGGAGAAAGGTGACCGACCAGTGGCTGAATGTACATCATTGTTATATGCAAACTCTGCCTGGGGAAGTTCCAAATCCCACTGTTTCGGCTTATCGCCACACACACTGCGAATCATGTTGCCTAGAGTTCGATTGGTGACCTCAGTTTGCCCATTGGTTTGCGGGTGAGCCGTGGAGCTTCGATTCAAGGTAGTGCCAAACATCCGCCAGAGGGTAAGCCAAAAATGGCTGAGAAACTTGGTGTCACGGTCAGATGTGATGGATTTCGGAACCCCATGTAGGTGCACAACCTCTTTGAAGAACAATTCAGAAATGTTGGACGCATCGACGGTCTTCTTACAAGCGATGAAGTGAGTCATTTTAGAAAACCGATCGACCACCACAAAAACAGAATCCACACCGCGTTGAGTACGGGGCAAACCCAGAACAAAGTCCATGGAGAGATCCAACCAAATGTCATCAGGTATTGGAAGCGGCAGGTAAAGTCCGGTGTTTTGTGACTGCCCCTTGGAAACCTAACACACGTAGCAGCACTTAACAATGGTGCCGACGTCGCGACGAAGATGGGGTCAGAAGAAACTTTCCTCCAAGCTTGCAATGGTCTTGTCTCGCCCCAGATGGCCTGCAAGATCCCCGCCATGTAAGTCCCGAATAAGCTTCTCACGCAACGATGAACTGGCAACACAGAGACGATCCCCTTTTAAGAGGTACCCCTCACGGACATGAAAATTGGCACGTGGGTGTTGCTGCGAACATGTTTCCCAAAGCTCTCTGAACTCGAGATTAGTGGCATACAGTTCTTTGAGGAATTCAAACCCCACGATCTCTTGGGACAAAGTAACCAACTGGGAGGATCTCCTGCTCAACGCGTCGCCACTTTATTCTGGTTGCCGGAATTGTGTTGAATAATGAAGGGAAACTTCTATAAATAGCTAACCCATCGAGCATGCATTTTATTGATGATATTTTGACTATGGAGAAACTTCAGCGCTAGCTGGTCCATAAAAAGAATTAATTCGCACTGGATCAAGTAATGCTCCCACTGTTGAAGGGCTCAGAATACAGCATAAAACTCTTGATCATATGTAATCCACTTCTGTCTGGCATCACTCAGCTCTTCTCTTGAGAGAGAACGGCGCCCACCCCAACGCCACTGGCATCACACTCAACCTGGAAAATCTTATCGAAATCAGGAAGGGCAAGGATGGGTGCAGTGCATAGATTCTCCTTGATCAGTTCAAAAATGTGCTCTTGCGATGGACCCCAGCTAAATTTTCCTTTCTTCAAAAACTCTAAAATAGGCGCAGTGATGGAGCTGAAGTCACGAACAAACCGGCGGTAAAAGGTAGCCAAGCCACGGAAACTTCGAACCTCCGCCGAAGCAGGCATGGGCCAATCACGAATAGCCCTTAACTTATCCTCGTCGACCTGTATTCCTTCTTCTCCCACGATAAAACCCAAAAACAACAGCTTATTCGTGCAGAAAGTGCATTTCTTTAGGTTGATATACAACTCATTTTCCAATAACGCTTGGAGCACCCGACGAAGGTGTGATAAGTGCTCCTCCTTGGATTTACTGTAAATTAATATATCGTCAAAATAAACCACAACAAAAGAGCCAATGAAAGAGCGGAGGACCTGGTTCATTAGGCGCATAAAAGTGCTTGGGGCATTGGACAATCTGAACGGCATGACCAGCCACTTGTAGAGCCCATCTTTACTCTTGCATGTCGTCTTCCATTCATCGCCCGGTCGGATTCGAATCTGATGGTACCTGCTTCTCAGACCAATCTTGGAGAAGACCTTCGAACCCGCCAACTCGTCCAACATATCTTCAAGACGCGGAATGGGAAATCGGTATTTGATGGTGATTCTGTTGATAGCCCTGTTGTCTACACACATGCGCCACTAATTCCCCTTCTTCGGAACGAGTAGTACCGGTACGACACAGGGGCTCATACTCTCCCGAATGAAGCCCTTCTTTAGAAATTCCTCGATCTGCTCTCTCAATATTTCATACTCTCTAGGGCTCATGCGATAGTGTGGTAGATTTGGTAAGCTAGATCCTGGGATCAGATTGATCTGGTACTGAATATCACGCATGGGAGGCAACGCACTAGGTAGCTCGTCCGACATCAGCGCTTTAAAGTCATTCAAAATCTCCTCCACCTCGATCGGAATAGTGGATTCAGGGTTTGCGGTATTAATCAATCCCTTAATGACTACCGGATAGATCCACTCGGACTCCTTGAAAGCATCCCACAACTCCTGCTCATCCTGCGTTAATACGAGGAAGCTAGATTTCGTTTTCCTGGGCTGCCTCGTGAACCCCGGAACCGATGCCATGGAGATCTTGTGCCCTTCCCATGTGAACATTATTACATTGTCCTTTCCTCGGTAAGTGATGTCATTATCGAAATTCCAAGGACGCCCAAGGAGGACGTGGCACACGTCCATGTTAAGTACATCGCATTCCACCTCTTCTTTGTAGTGTTTTCCAATGGAGATGGAGACTTTGCACGTATGTGTGACCTTAACTTGAGGTCCCTTGTTCACCCACCCAATGCATAAGGTCTCGAATGAGGTTATGTTGGTAGCTCGAGGTACAACACGAGCTTTTGCGAGACCAGGTTCTCTGTGCTGCCATTGTCGAAAATGAGGTTGCAGACGTTGTTATGGATAGAACAATGGGTTCTGAATAGGTTCTTTCTTTTCCCTTCATCTATTGTTGACAATAAGATCCGTTGTAGGACGATGTTAACGGCGTCCCCTGATTCTTCTTCAGCAAACTCGACATCAGCATACTCATTAGTTTCCCCGTTGTCTTCGCACTCGTCTTGTAATACCGCGACTTTCTTTCGAGAAGGACAAACGTTGGACCGATGCCCTTGCCCGCCACAACGGAACACTTGTCCCCCGTTGGCCTAGCATACGGATTCAGAGCTCACGGTGGCGGTCCTCTAGTTGGTGTTGAACTACCCGTGGCCCCGTTGTTTTTCATAGGTGGAGTGGGTTCTTTGGAGGTAGTAGGCTTGTCTATGTCTCCTGTTGCCTCGTTCGTGCTCGGCGGAGGGAATCTTCGAAACGGTGAGAAGTTCTTAGGAGACTTCTCCATTAGTTCAGCTTTCATGGCTAGGGTGGAAGCTTCCGCCACCGTCCAAACTGTCTGTAGGCCCATCTTTTCCTGTATTGAACCCTTCAACCCGTTGATATAGCGAGCAACATTCTGCCCCTCCGTCTCTCCTAGCTTGTACAGGCAAAGCGCAAGAATTCCGCGGTGTACTCGGTCACGCTCCTTCTTCCTTGAACGCAATCGATATACATCTTGTACAGGATTTGCTCATAATCTACGGGCAGGAACTGCTCCATCATGAGTTGTTTCATTCGCCTCCATGTCCGGATGCGTGCTTTTCTTTGACGTTGTCGTTGGACAACCAGTTTATCCCACCATACCGCCGCTGTGATTTTCAACCGAATTGCCACCATCCGAACCTGCTTATTATCGGGTACCCCCATCACGTCGAAGAACCGGTCGACGTCAATCTGCCAGTCTAGAAATTCCTCGTTGCACATGGTACCATAGAACAAGGGAATATCAACTTTGACCCAATAATCATGTTGATTCCGTTGGTGATCACCGTCCGCATCCTCATCATGGGCCTCTTCTTCTGAATCAGATTCCGAATCAGCACGCACATGTGCGGCATTACGGGGTCTTCGGAGTTGGTCATTATCACTCCTGTCTCTCGCCCTCCTCTCCGGGTTAGCATTAACCTGGGCGTTAACCTGGTCTGTCAATGTCGCTACTTGTCTTGTTAGAGCAGTAAGGGCCGCGGTAAATGTCGTTGTGATCGCTTCGATAACTGCTCTCGTAACTGGTTGATCGCCCATGGCTGTTCAAGGCACCAAAGAGGCAGGAGAAAGCCTGCTCTGATACCACCTGACGCAGTCGGACAAACAACAAGGCTCGCAAACGCCAAGCCTGCTCGAACAAAGCTTGCCAGCGCAAGCTTAAAAGATTTTCTGGAAATCCACCAGAGGAAAACAACCGCTAGGGTCTGATAATTAAAGCTAAAAGTTGAGTCTCACAAGTAAAACTAAGGCTGCTTAAATACTACTACAACCCAATTACCCTATCTGCTACTGTCTATGACAAATTACAAGAACTAAATGAACAATAAAAATAATCAACGAAAACATGTCCATGCCGCCTTACTCCATGCCGCCTTACTCGTCTCTCGCCAGCTCTTCCTTGACTCGAACGGCTTCCTTCAGCTTGCTCTCCAACAGCCCTGCATCAGCTATGCTTTGTCTCACCCCGTGCATCGTTTGAAAGAAATTGAAAGAAATGGGATGTTGTAAAAAAGCTTGGGTATGGGGAATTAGGGTAAAGAGGTAGATAGAGAGATGGGGAATGATGGGCCGAAAGAGATGAGTGAGAAGGGGAATCTACAAAACATATAAGGAAAACAAGGGTTGTAATTGCCCATTTCAATTTTCGTGACCTGAGAGTGATTCTAGTAAGGTCATTTTTGTATTGCATCCAGTTCATCTTTAAATATTAAAAATGTTATCATTGGAGTTCGAACCTTGTTGGTGACTTAAATGAACAAAGAGCATTATGACCAACTAGGCTACATTGTATGCATATTATTTCATTGATTAAACTCTAGAAATATGTTTGGTAATGATACTTCTATATTTATATTTTATCTTAAGTTATTTATATCTTATCAAAATAGATTAGTTCTAAAATCGAAACACAAGTAACATTGATTCAAACATTAATATTAAATTGTATGTGTAGTTTAATTTAGACAAAATACAGAAGTGTACCAAAATATGGACCTTTGTGACGAGTATAGTCATTTTTTGTGACAAATCTACACATAGTATAATGATAAAATTTGAAAATGAGGGTCTCATTCAAATTTCGTAGCCTGAGAGTCTCATTTTTGGCTACACATAACTATTTTTTTCTAAACTGAACCACATATACAATTTAATATTTAATGTTTGAATCAATGTTACTTGAGTTTCGATTTCACAATTAATCACTTTCTATAAAATAATAATTTCAGGTAAAATACCCTTCTTACTTGGTTGAAGAAGCTCTTTCTATATGATATATGCAATGTTTTAAGATTTTCCATTTTAAATTTCGTGAACTGAGAGTGAAAGTAGGAAGAGTATTTTTGTCATCGCAATTATTATCGACTTCTTATAAAACGTATCAATATCAAGATTTGAACCATGGTCTCGTCAAACAAAAACAATAATTAGAACCAATTACACTAAACAAATTTGTTTTATCTTCTTAAATTGTAGCCCCAAACACTAAGCGAAGATTTGAAAAGAAAAGGACTTTTCCATCACGGTTAGGTAGCCTATTAAATCTTCTAAAAAGCAAAGTTTAATACGTGTTTTATAATTTTTTATAACATATAAAACGACAGGTAATCTTAAAATTTGAATAACTAAAGTAGAAAACAATCATTTCAAGCATTTAAAATCATCTATTATATCCACTATTATCTACTAAATTGCTCGAAAAAATTCTTTCGGCCAACGGGCCGGACCCTGTGCTAGTGAATGAGAGATGTGAGAGAAGGGGAATGAAGGCTAAAATATAGATTAGGAAAGTAGTAAATAAAGATAAGGATTATAGGTATAATATGCCCCTCTACTATAATGTTTTATCAAATATGTCCCTTTACTATTTTTTTACATCAAACAAGTCCCTGTACTATTTTTTACAAAGTACAGGGGCTTGTTTGATGTAAAAATGATCAAACATGCTCTTTTGTTAAAATTTTCATCCATAAACCGTTAACCATCGCCGAACGGTGACACAAATGTTTAAAATATCCCTAATAATTTCACTTTAGAATTTTTTTGGTTATTTTGTGTAACCAAATAATTCAAATAATTTCACTTTGAAGAGACCCAGAGAAATAAAGCAGGGGACAAAACTGATTTTCCCTCCCATTCTTCGATGTCTAGTCGTCTAAATCTCGGTTCAACCATGATTGATGATATTTTCCATGGAAACTTTAGCAGAAGGGCATGTTTGATAATTTTGTTAAAGTACAAAAGCATGTTTGATGTAAAAAATAGTAAAGTGACTTGTTTGATAAAACATCATAGTAGAGCGACATATTAAACCTATAACCCTAAAGATAGTAAAAATGGAATGAGGAGTGCAACGATCAATAACTCTAATCAAGCTACTTTTCCAAATCAATAGTTTTTGCTAACACAAAATCCTTGCTTTAGTTTTAGAAAATAATAATATTTAGGTTTTTAATTTAGTTAATAAGTTTATACAAATTAACCACTAACCGTTTATTTTCCAAAACTAATAACTACATTAGTTTGGAATGGGTTCGGGTGCTAACTCTTCAAAAGGTTAGCACCATGCTAACTGGCTTTTCCACCATTAGATACAAACTTAATCCTATAGGCAATATTTAATAATTAAAGGGAAATTTAGTAAAAAATTAATTGTTCCTCATAAACCCTAATATATATATATATATAAATGCATAATTCTCGCCGCCTCTCCTCATTCTTTGAAAACCGTCCACCTCCCATCTCGTTTTCCACAAACTTCAACCGCCATGTTCTCCCTTTCTCCTTCTCCAAAGAATGGAGTGATGATCACAAACTCTCCCCCATTTTTCTCCTCCACCAACTAGCGACGTGGTCATTGAAAATAGCGCCGAAGGAGAAGACGTCATAGATCTCCATCTCCTCACGGGCGACCAAAGACACAAAGCTTCATCGAGGGCGATGGCGAATTAGGCGGCGGCGAGTGAAGAAGGGACATCGATGGCGATTGAGGAGAAAATTAGGGGCGACGGCTTTGAGAGATCTAGAGGGTCGTCATCAAATTCTTCAAATTGGAATCCAACCTCGACAATGATGGCCGGTTATAGGGAGAATTCCGTTCAAATCGACGGTGGGAGAAGTGGGTCGCCGAGGGTGAGATGCGCTTGAGCACTGATGACGAAGGATTATAATAAATGGAAGAAAAAACAATTGATGTTTGTAGTAGTGATTAGAAGTCGGGTTTTGGTTTTATCTAAATTTGTAGTACTGATTTTTCATATATGTGATAATGATTCTCACAACAATGATATATAGCAGTAGTACTAGTAGCGATTTTACAGATCTGATAACGTTTTTCCAGTAGTGATTATGTAGTTGTGATGTGACTCGTATTAGCAGTGATTGAGTAGTAGATTTTTTTCAATAGTGGTTTCCTCCTACCAAATCATATTAGTAGTGATTATTTTATCATTACTTTCCAAAGTTCACTCATTATGAGTAATTTAAAATTTCTAAATCACTATCTACAAGAACAAATAAAATTGCTAATACAATCACCAAAATCACTATCAATGAATGTAGTAGTAGTTTACGACTTTACGGTAGTAATATTTTTCACGTCTAAAATAGTTTTCTACTAAAAAGAAGATAAAATATTTTAAATCTTAATTTATTAATTAATTTTTTTATATAATGAATCTGCCCCTCCTTATTCTCTACCGTCAAATTTAAATGAAAAATAATGAATGATGACTATAATGGTTAGTACCGTGCTAATTCCTATAAAGTTAGCACTCTTAACGAGTCCCAGTTTGTTTTTACAAATTAACCACTAACGTTTATTTACAATGCTAATTAAGTTTTATTTAAGATCCTGATCCGATCTGCTAATAAAGTGTTAAAAGCTGGTATATTTACAATGACGAATGAAACACCTCTGCAGCTGCAGTAAATAACTTCGTGCTTGAATAATGGAAACGCCAACGGTCTGAACCAGCAACTGGTTTCCGGATTAGTGGAGAACGTCACGTTCTCTGCAGACTTCATCATCTTCCATTTGCAGCAACAGCTCCCATGTGTCTTCTGGTACAAAGATCATGTTGCTGCTGCAATGTCTCTCGAATCAATCTTGTTCTCTATTACCACGGCTGCCATCACCAAGCTGATTAAGGGAGAAATCAATCGAGGAAGTTCAAATCCAACGGACATCTGAGGTTGCCTCTCACAATCCATCAAGTACGTTTTCATCGAATATGGTGGTTGATGGCATGACCAAACAACTACCACATACTTCCTTGCTTTATCCTTTACAATATAATGTTAAGGAAATGGAGGAAGGAGGTGAAACAAGTAATTCTAGCGTTGGAAATTGCTGGGCATTGGCTGCTGCTAGAGGGAGGGGAGAGTTATTCATCCACCAAAACACCAGCGGGCACAACTTTTTCTTAAAATTTATATAAAGCATGGTTACACAGGCAAAATGCCCTTGTGATATTCCTGTGCCAAAGTGGGAACTCTTTTCTTCTCTTTTGTACAGATAATATGCATGCTCTTAAGAAATGGTTCGTGTTCTCGTTACAATCCCATACCTCAAATCAAACTCTGAAAGGAAACAGCTGCAATAGAAGGAAGGAAGAAACAACTACAACAAAGCAGAAACTAATCACCATTACTACTAAACGATATTTTCAGTTTGGCCGTCATAATCTGTTTCTCCCGGTTCAGTAAGCCTCTTGCTCTCCCTGAAAGAAAGACGGAGCCAGAAAAGCTTACTGAACATAAGGTCAAAGAAGATGAAGTTTGTGGCGTAACGTAATGTGAGAAGCAAAGCAAGCATCTTACCTTCTTGGGAGCAACGAACTGAACGAACTTGTTCTTACCCTTTGCGACACTACTCTTGTTAGTGAGATGCTTCCTGATGTGCTCCCTCACGAATCGCTCGTACAAGAAAGCCGCCCCTTTGAACTGCGGCAGAACCAGCCACGCTGCCAACACCAGCTTCGCCGTGTACCATATTGGAATCCTACGCGACAATAACAAGCACTGATCATAATCAAACGTTGAACAGATTCACAATTCATTCTTCCAGATTAATGGGTAACCGAACAAAGGCAGTATACCACTCGAGAACGGACTGGAGCAGCATCTCGGACAGGGTTAAGAAGCTGTAAATGATCCAATACGCAAGCCACTGCTCATCGTCCTCCTTACCAGGGCTCTCTATCGCCATCACTGACGCATACCTAACAATTGATTCCCGCACCACAAGTCATTTTCACTTGAAACCCATCTCTGGGAATCTCAACCAATTTCGAAAGGACAGAGAATTTAACAGAGCTGATACTAGCTAGGGCAGCAGATGGTCACTACTTACAGAGGGTAAAGCAGCATCGTCACCGGCCTGCATCCAGAGGGAAAACAAAGGGGGGGAAAAGAGAAGTGTCCGATCAAATTACAGGCGGTCGGAGATAGCAAAGATCGAATGGGGCACAACCCAGAAACTACCCAAGTGATAAGAAAGAGGGGAATTTTAATTACCCGGCAACAGTGTGAACGTGGGTAAGGAATGTCCAGAAACGGCTCATCTTTGAGGTTTTGATTTCTTCAAGGCGACTGCCCAGCCACAGACAAGGCCAACAGAAGAAGAAGAAGAAGAAGAAGAAGGAAGGGTATTTGGGTTTTCAAGGTAGGAGGAGAAGAGTAAAGCGGAGGAGTGAGAGTTACAGAGAAGTGGAGAGTTGGTAGGCAGCGAGATGGAAATGAAGTCCTCTTTTTATACAAGGAGATGAAGCACTACGAGGGGACGAGGAAACGTGGCGGAAGATGAGTTGCGGAGCTAGTATCAGATTCTGCCGTGGAAGTGGAACTAGATTTTAGAACCGTCCAGATGGGTTCCCCTGTCCGTGGGCCAAAGATCAAACAAATTGAAGTGAAGGCAACCGTCTGATCCTTCTCCAGAAGGCATCGCAAATTAATTAAATAGCTTATCGATTACTGAATTGAATGACCACTCGCACTCTGCTTTGTGTAATGAATTGTGTTTTCTTAATCGTAATTCACCATTTGATTAATCAACATTTTTGAGTTGGGTTTTGGCTTTTCCTCGTGAGGGAAGCCACGTTTCACGTTAATTCATATGACAAGGTCGGTGCCACCTCTCTCGGCTTGTCTCACGGCTACGTCGGCAGAGCCGACACATTCACAAACAACTTTACGGGCCAACCGAAAGGCAAGCCGAGTTACCTGTTTTTTGCAACCTTATTGGGCCGTTCTCCAACTAAGACATTTTCAAGCCCAAGCTGAAAACCTCATTTCCAGGGTGCAAGCAACAGTGCTATTAGAGATTTGGGCTGAGAAAATAGACCAGACCGTTTGAAAAACCGTGGATCAAACCAAATCGCATAGTTTGGTTCGGACCGTAGACTGTGAAGAATTGTCTGATTTGGTCCATGGTCTGTACTATATGACGTTTTGATATCTTGGTCTGGTCTGGTCTAGACCGCGGTTTACCGGACCAAACAGTGGATCTAGCCGACTTCCCAATACATGTTAGTATCTCACTCAACCACTCTCCCAAGTCCCAACTCCCCCAAACGAGACTCAAGTCTCAACCTTAATTTTGAGAATCTCGCCCCCTCCTTCACTCACAACCACATTTCACTAGAGAATAGAGATGGTCGTGTCTCCATATGACATTATGTTAATGTTTGTGATGTTATGGTGCGAGTTGGGATTCTTCGACTTTGTGTCTTTGTTATTTACTAAGATTTAGGGAATCAAAATTATTCATGCATGTTGGACTTTATGTTTTAAGGCAAAAAAAAACAAAATTTCCCCTCAGTTATTGGTTAAACTTTTAGTGTGGTTGACTTAACAAAGTGTTCATTTTTTGTTCAATGTGGTCTGTCTGGATCAGACCGTACCGGACCAAACAGCACAGGCGTGGTCTGGTCTGGAGCGTATAGTATGTGGTATGGTCTCTGGTGTATATTTTAGTCTCTCGGTTTGGACCGTAGACCGTCTATATGGCGTGGTCTGGACCAGACCGCACCGTTTCCCAGCCATATTAGACATCAATCGGGTTTGTCGGGTTGCGGTCAAATTGAGTTGCGGGTTCATCGGGTTTGGGTTGGGAGGGTTGCGAGCGGTTCGGGTTGCGGGTTGTTCAGATCAATGCATCGAGTTAATTACTTCTTACTCGCTACCAACGTACACATTTTATTACACTGATTTAAAATATTTTTCGCAATTTTTAACAAATTTCTTTCTACCTTGTCGATATACTTTAAAAAAAAATTTAAAAACTAGTCAAAATGTTTAATCAATTTGTATGATTTGGAAACTTCTCATGTAATTAATCGTAATTGGTAAAGTACACTAGCTAATATTAATGGTGATATCAACATTTGCAACCAATAGACACTATTAACAAACCATACAATCAGAAAACAAAACACCACTCTAAAAGCAAAGAAGAAAAATACTTTTTCCCATCTAAACATTTTTGGACGACAAACTGAGTGGCAATATAGATTAATCCAAACAAAAATTGGGCGGACTTTTGGAGCGGGAAAGAAGAAATTGGGCGACAATATATATCAAGCAAAAATATATATATATATATATATATGGGCAGTATTTTACAACAGTAAGAAAAATTGAGTATGGTATACTCCAGGAGTATACCAGTCATTTCCATATATATAAAAAAACAAACTAAAGTTTAATTCTCTTATGTATGATGTATAAACTTTTTGTTTACAAAAAATAAATGAATTAAGGTTCATGGCAAAATTTTGTAAGGGTCAATAATCCTAATTTATTTCCATATGAAAAATCTAGACAAGCACTAATATTATAAACAACAGCGTATGGGAGATGGAAATCAAGCATAATAATAAAGAAATTGAAACGATGGTACGTCAAACTGTGATGAATTTTTCCTCCTTAGATTTTCATTTTGGTAGAGACAAATTGTAGAGGGAAAGACAAAATAAGAAGAACGAAAAGTGAGAAGGGAAACATTGAGGTAATGAAAAGCTGGGATGAAAATATCAAAAAGGGGATGAGGATAGTTTCCCACCTAAATGAAAATGTGGTGTGAGAATTAACAATTAAGATTAAGTTTCCGACTTAAATGTAAAATAATATGCATTTGAGATAAGATAACTCATCACCTGTTCTCCAATCTACTATATCGAATTAGTCATGCCCTATAAGACTATAGTAAGGTTGTATATAGACAATATTTTAGTCGGTAAATTTTAGACTCCTAAATCATTATATGTAAACATTGTGATAATCAAATTGATAATTAATTAAACTCCTAAACCATCGTATGTAAACATTGTTATAAATTTTCTCTCTTCTTTCTCTTCGAAAAATCTTAAACTCCCAAGGTTCACTGAAAAGGCAATGATGAAACGCCCGACGTCTCCCCTCATGATGTTGCTTGTCGCCGTGCTTGGAGGAGAATGAACGAATGAACCATCGATATTAATACTCGTCCATCCCTTTGGTGGTGGCCTCCACCAAATAAGTCGATGTTCAGTCAACCGCCCTGCTCCAAACATGGTGTTCTCTTTCGGGAAGCTTAACAATGTATGTTGCCTGTGTTGTTTGATGTAAAACTAGAGTTGTGCACATGGCTCAATCTTGCTTTCTAACAAAAGATTATTCCGATTCTTCTAAAACGACCAACAGGTACCTGCAAAAAGCGGGATATCAGTATGGCTAGTGCGGCCAATAACATAGTGCATGAGCCTTCTAGTGAGATCTCCCTCGAAGAAAGTTGTGTCCGACTCCTTGTCAAGAAAATCTGCCCAAACCGCGCGCGCATATGGACAGTCTCGAAGTACATGGATGGTGTTCTCGTCCACTCCGTCGCAGATCTTGCTCGTTGTTGCATTCGCAAGGTTCCTGCGTACCCTCTTGTCGTTGGTCAGTAGTCTATCCTAGATCTCCAGCCAAAGGAAGGCTTGAACACGTCGTGTGATCGGTGCCCGCCAAATAGCGCATCAGACAAGGTGGTGCAATGGGATGTTTGTATCCTCTCCTCCGGTGAGGTGGTAGGTGGATTTGAGGGTGAAGTCCCCTAAAGTTGTCAGTCTCCACATCATGGTATCCGGCTCCGTGCACTGCGGTACTGGGTGAAGCAAAACCCGCGCCACTATGGAGGGATGTAAGAAAACATTTAAACAAGATACATTCCATTCAACATTAAGAATGAACTCCGCGACTGTCAACGATTTCGCCGCTGCAGGAAGTTCATGTGCCATCTCTCCTGGGACCGTCATTAAGCCACCTGTCATGCCAGAATCGTGTCTGGTGGCCACTCTTGATATTCCACATCAAAGCTTGGGGAAGGAGATGCCAGACCCGCAAAACCCTCCGCCACAAATTTGAGACTCGACCTCTGGTTCGCAGCTGCCATCCCTGTTCCGTACGTTGAAAGTATTTGGCTGAGACCACCCTTGCCTATAGGGAATCTCGCTCGCATAGGAGCCTCCAAGAAATCTCCTGCATGAAAGCATCATTCATCCTTGTAGCTGTCTGCAGCCCCAGACCGGCTCTATCGCTTGAGGCGCAGAGGGTATCCCAGTCCACGAGATGCACTTTCTGACCAGCCTCTGTACTGCTCCAAATGGAATTCGTATCTCCCATTTCTTGCTGCCGCTAAAGCTATAATTGATGTGAATAACGGTAGGATGGAAGATGAGAAAATCACATTCACCATATCAAGAGGCACGAAGTTCTCAAATATGCATGGTAATTTGAACTTCAGTGATGACGTTGACCATTATTATGTTGTTTTCTCAATTGCTTTGTGATTATAGTGATCCTATTGTTGCATTTAGCTAGATGAAGAAGTCCCCAAACCCTCACTATGGAGCATGTACCTTCATTGAACGAGGGAGAAGAAAAGGAGATATCAAGGGAGAAGCTAATTGAAAGCTTACCAAAGGCACCCCAAATTGGGCCTTCCAACGTGGAAACACCAACATTAGAGCTCAAGCATCTTTTAGATCACTTGGAATATGCCTATTTAAGGTAGGATTTAAAAGTTACTGTGATCATCGGTGCTCGTTTAACAAGCCATGGAAAGAAGGCATTTTAAAATAGCATGCATTTTTGGATTGGGCTACTTAGTTCTATTTTTGACTTGCAGTCCATGTGTTCATTACTTGTACAAGGTGATCCACTAGGGTTTCATGGCCTAAAACAAAAAATACTACTGAAAATATATAAAATGTATAAAACACACCTAGATATACTAAATGCATCTTAGAGAAAATATTAAATAATTCCAAGTCAAAGTGGCTAACCATATGAAGAAATTATGCAAACACAGAATGAGGTAATAAAACCATATATTTTACGTGTCATCACATGAATATTATTGTTTCCTTGATGGAATATTAGGCTACTCTCATATCCCTATTGCAATTAAGGATCAATTGAATGCCACTTTCACTTGTCCATTTGGTACATTCGTTGATCGAAGGATACCATTCAGTTTGTGTGATGCACTATTGACGTTTCAAAGGTGCATGGTTGCTATTTTTCAAAATATAGTGGGAGATATAATTGATTTGTTCATGAAATGTTTTTTGGTCTTCAGGGATTCATTCGAACTTTTCCTTTCTTCTTCGACCATAAAGTGATAATTTTCCCAATTAAGAGCTAGATTTTTCTCCTTACGCCTTAACAAAATCTTCTCTATATTTTGAAAAATGGATCAAAGTGAACAAAAGAAAAAATTAAGCTACCTCCTCGCATAAGAGTTTTCTTCATCATGTTGTGTTTTATGGGAGATTCATCCTAGACTTTTCAAAGATTTTCCTGCCACTCACTATGCTAGTTGAGAAGAATGCCACCTTTGATTTTACTAAGAAGTGCCGCATAGCATTCGAGACTCTCATGAGAAAGTTCACACATGCTCCAATCATTGTGACTCTAGATTGAAGTCTCCCATTTAAGCTTATCTCTTATGCGAGATTTTGCATTAAGATTCGCATTAGGGCATATGAGGGATAAGCATTTCCAACCCATCTAGTATGTTGATTGATGCTGACTCGCACGAAACTACACTAAAATTAATCCCGACTAGAGCCCAAGTTTTTAAACTCTAGTCGGGTGCAGTATAGAGAAAGTATTAAATTGTCAACCCAGACCAGTCCATGTACCCCTACTTCGATCTCTTAAATTGTTATCTAGCAAACAAATTTAGGGTTTAGGTTTATTGGAACTACAAACTAACCAAGCAAAGAAAAGTAAATAAAGGAAAAGCCTAACTAAGGGAGCTTTGCCCAGGAATCGCTTCCCCCCTAACTAGCTACCATGACTCGTTGGATTGGAACGATTGCCTTGGGCACGTTAATCGTGAACCGCAGAGGAAAGCGTATGTGGTCGGAGACCATAGTCTCAATTGCTAAACCGAGGTGAGAATGAAAGGCCGTGTCACTCGACCTTCTCGGTTTAGACAATCGGTAATCGACTTACTCCCTCACTCAACTCTAAGGTCGGATGGATTAACCACGATTAATTGACTTGTTCAATTAAATATTGAGGGTTTCCCTAACTCAACCTAGTTTAGGTGGCTTAGAAAGTGGAAGGAAAACCAACTCGATTGAGTCTCCCTTGAAAGGGGTATTTTCCTCTCTAAACTAGGCTAAGGTGGCAAATTAGATTACTAGAACCTAAATGCATAAACTTAGGGGTGCTAAGCACAATTATGCACAATCCCTAGGATGCTAAGCACAAAATATGCACAACCCCTAAGTTGCTAAGCACAAGCATGCACAATCGACATGAATAATACCTCGTCCTTGAATTAAACACTACCCAATGACAATCATTCAATCTAAACAAGTAATTTCAAAGTATTAGTTAGGGATCTACAACACCCAAGAGAAAAGAGTGAGTTTCTAGAGAGAGAGAGAGGGATTACAAATTTGAGCTCAAGATCTTCTTCTTCTTGTTCTAGGCTTGAGTCTTCCACCCAAGCCTCCAATGATGCTCCAAGATCACTCTAGCACTCCCTCTCTCTCACTAGAACTCCCCTTTGGTGTTTTAGGTTGAAACCCTAGAGAAAGAAAGTGTTTCTTCTAAAAAAACCAGCTCTCTTTTCTCTCTCCCCGCTGTTGTCTTCATATTTGCCCGAAAGTGACAAGTTCACGGACGCTTTGGCCAGTTCATGGCCGTGAAAAGTTAAATGCGTTCGTGAACTCAGCGTCGTCCAAAACGCACCGCTTGACTGTCCTGGGTTCACGGTTAATGGCCCTAAGACCGTGAACTGCCTTGTCGTCAGTAACTTCAGGAACCCCGCTGGATGCCTCGCTGTTCACGGTTTGTGGTCGAAGTTCACGATCTTAGGAGACCGTGAACTGCCTCGTCCAACCATGAACTGCTGTTGTTTCTTAGACACCTTCAATTCACTACTACAGGGCAATTGTCTTCGGACTTTTCTTTGGTTTTTGTGCGTTTTGAACTCCAAATATCCCAAAACTCGTCCTCGACCCTTCCACATGTGCTAGGACCTGAAATGTATCAAAACAAGCACAACCTAGCGTGGAATATGTCGAGGAACGATGAAATACTAAGCTTAACGAATAAGAAATGAGGGGTAAAATGTGTACATTTGGGCCCGAATCAGATGCCAAAGAGAACTACACAACTATGGGAAATGAGTTGATCGTCCTTATTTGGTGTGTCGTCTAAATTTATAAATCATTCGACTTTTTGCTACTTAATGAAAAAAAGATGCTAAGCCCAGACTCATCTGGTGGATTCTTCTTCAACAGTTTGACATAGACATTCTACATAAAAGGGGTACATATGGGGTGTGGAAATCTCAAATCTGGAGAGGGGTACATTCAAGGTTAATAGTCATCGTCTCAGGCTCTACCTCAAAGGAGTTGTTGACTCATCTGTCGAGGTAATCTATCTAGTCCCCTTAGACTCCTTACAACCTTTGTCTAGCTTATGACATCAAAGAAGCGTGTTCACTTTATTTAGTTCTATATCAATTCGGTCGAGACTAGCAGTGGCAAGTCAATAAGTACTAGTGATATATCAAATTTTCTTTCTAATAGCATATGAGTTGAGACTAGCTGTGACAAGTTCATTTTATAATACGTAATTTACAAAATTATTACTAAAATACACCCAACTCGCATAAAAACTTATCGACTTAAGTAGTACCAATTTAGGGCGTTGTGGGGGTGTTGCTTAACTTCCCCACGTGTAACCGTGCTCCCGAAACTAGATATCTATATTTCTAATTCGCAGACCAAGCCCCAGTTCTGACATAAGGTTAGAGCCGACCGATGAGTGTTCGATCCACTCCAAGTAATTAAGATTGATGGCGACTCCCAAAAAGCGAACGCGACGACCTCGACCCCCCAGAGGGACGGTTGCGACAATTGTTTTTTGAATAAGTAACAACTTTCTCTGGAGAGTGCACTCTTGGCATCCTTTGATTCTCTCTTGGTTAAAGACATACACTAGCCATCGAGTTTGAATACCTTTTCTCTTGCTTTATAGTATGCAAACTTGGATAAGTTTAAAAACAAGTCTTTCTTGTACGGGTTAATTTCATGGTTGGTCACTAAGATGGCCATTAAAATATATTTTTATTTTATGATAAAAATGAGTTGGACATTAAAATATATTAAATTTTATTTTATTTATTATTTCTTAATTGCCACGTCACTAAGTTAACGGTCAACTTTGAGAGTTGACTGCCACATTAGCCAAAGTTAACAGAGTTGGGCGAAGAGTGACCAAACGTGAACGGTTTCAGTAAGGTTAAGTACCACCAATGGATTTAAATATTTCGAGTGACCAAACTTGAACATTTTTTGTAATCTCAATGATCAACCATGCAATTAACCCCTTTTTTGCACTATGTGGAATTCCAAATCATAATCTTATAATGTGTACTAGATATGGCTCTCTCACTAGCACTTCGTAGCGAGTTGAAGATAGCACTATACATGTGTTATATGAAAATTATTAGCAAAATGAAACTCATAAGACATAACTCCAAAAGTAGCAAGAAAAACCCCAAAGATAATTTACATACTATTGAGTAAACAGGTTGAAACTATTTAGTCAAACTTTTGTTAAAACACCACACTTATGAGTTGTTAGAGTAAATTGGACTATATGACTAATGTGGCATCATATTCCAAATTAGTTCTACGCAAAAATAAAATAATTATTTTCATTATCTAAAGATGACTTCAAATGGGATTTAAGAGGGCGTGAAGCCGTGAATAGAAGAATATGAATTCCATTGACGTGAGAGAGAGAGAGAGAGAGAGAGAGAGAGAGTAAATTGGCAAATGAGGGCTAAAAGTCCAAATAGAACTCTCTATGCAAAAAATAAAGTAATTATTTTCATTATATGAATACAACTAAAAAATAGGATTTCGACGGGGGAGAAGTCGTGAATGGTGAAGAAGATGAATTCAAGAGACGAGATTGAATCATCCCGAGAAGTTTCAAAGATCTTTTGGTGGCTTCCATCTCCTGCGCAGCTCTTCCCAAGCATGGTCGAAATTGTTAACGTAGATTGATATTGAGAGCATGAAAGTAAAAAAAAAAAAAAAACATTAATTTTGAAATTCAACTTATCTAGCAAGTCCAAATATCACATCTCCATAATACAAACCAACAATTTGATATTTCTAAACCAACCATAAGTGGAAAATGAGAAAGCGGAGTGTAGGTGGGAAATATACAGTGACATCATCAGTACATTTCTAGCTAGGTTGAGGGGATTACAAATTTGCAATTCATGAGGGAATAATTCAACGAATGAATAACTACCACCTCCTAAAACCATGCAATGCAACAACAACAAGAAGAGAAGACACTACCAATATTAAGTTGCGTGCAAGACAGACAAATTCCCCCACCTCACCTCACCAAAATAGTTGTTCAGCTGCTGCTAATTATGTCCCCTCGCCAGTCAAATGCTTCTGGATCCTCTCCCGGTTTCTAGCAATATCAGAATCAAATCCCTTCTCCAGCCACTACTGCTTCATCCATCCATTAATTAATTAATTAATTAGTGTTCCCTTGCTCCTCTGTACATAATCAACCAGTTAGACCAACCAATTGCGGAAAGAAAGAAAAACTCCCCACAATGAAACATGATGAGGTAGAAGAGAGCCAGTCACAGACACAGTCAGTCCACTTTGCTCGTTTTTCTTCCCTAACTTGAAGAGGATATATCATATCATATCATATATCTGGTGGCTCTTGGTGTCCTCAGGAATCCCTCCCACTCCACACAGCAGCATTCATGGCATCAATGGCGACAAAGGGCAGTTCCATTTCAGGGAGGGATTTCTGCTGCCACGTGCCCAGAGGCATTCATATCCCATCTCACCGCCACAGGAGCAAAAGGCTGTCCATCATTAGAGCAAATTCCAGAAGCAATCCACAGAGCTTGGACTTGAACAAGGTGAATGGGAAGAAGGTGAATGGGAGCCCCAGAGTAGTGGAGGGAGGAGCTCCGTTTGATTTTGATAGTCACAAAGTGGATCACCAGAGTCCCCATAGCTGCCTGATGGGAAGATTCGTGGAGGACAGGCTGGTGTACAGGCAGAGTTTCATCATCAGATCCTATGAAATTGGACCCGATAAAACTGCTACGATGGAGACATTGATGAATCTCCTCCAGGTATCATATTTGTCATAATCTGTTCATTGATGAGTTGAAACTTGAAAGTGGAAAGACTTAACACATAGAGGATCGGAATCTGTCAGGAGACAGCTCTGAACCACGTGTCGAGCTCTGGGATAGCAGGAGATGGGTTTGGCGCCACGAGGGAGATGAGCCTCCGGAAGCTGATTTGGGTTGTCACTCGCATCCACATTCAAGTGCAGAGCTATAGCTCCTGGTATTTATGGGTTTAACCCAAATTCAATAATTCATCTTCCTTTCCAAAGTAAAGGCTGATGTGGTTTGATTTGGACAGGGGCGATATCGTGGAGATCGACACGTGGGTGGATGCGGCAGGGAAGAACGGGATGAGAAGAGACTGGATCATTCGAGACTTCAATACCAAACAGATCATCACCAGAGCGACAAGGTTCGAAATTTGCTCTAGTTAGAAAACTGAATTCTATTCTGTGGCTGGTTTCTCACTGTAAAAAATGCAATGCAATGCAGTACCTGGGTGATCATGAACAGAGAAACCAGAAGGCTGTCGAAAATCCCAGACCAGGTCAGGGAGGAGCTGGTTCCCTACTACATTAACAGAGTCGCCATCGCTGCTGAGGATAACGACTTGGACAAAATCGACAAGCTTTCCGACGAGACGGCCGAACGAATTAGGCCCGATTTGGCTGTACGTCTGTCTCTCTGGCTCTGTCTGTCTCTCTGTCTATTCCCTTGAACGCTTGCTAATGTTTCTTACTTCAACTGAAATCCGCAAACGACAGCCAAGGTGGAGCGATATGGACGCTAATCAACACGTCAACAACGTCAAATACATTGGGTGGATTCTGGAGGTAGCCATCAATTCATTACTCAAACCTCTCTCAATGATAGAAACTTGGGTTTGATATTTGGAGATTAGGGTTTATACGAACAGAATTAGGGATTTGAGAAAAAGAAGAAGATAGGGAATCGGGAAAGAAGAAGAACAGAATCGGCCTAGGCCTTAGAGGGATTTAGAACGAGAATTGAGAGGATAGGGAGATTAGGGTTTGGAAGCTTTTCTTTAATATTCTTCTTATTTTCGAATAGATGAATAACAACGTACATATATAGGAACAGAACCACAAAACCCTAACAATTAACCTAATGCGACTAAAAGACTAATTACTCTAATATAATAATAATTATAGAACCCGAACTGAAGTTGGTTTCTATCATCCCCTCCCCCTTGAGACCAACCTTGCCCTCAAGGTTGACCAACTTGAACCACACCTCCACCTTTCTCGTACAATCTAGGAGTCGATTCTTCCGTCGCTTCCTGTTCTTCCAATTTGCATTATGGCACTCGGTTAGGACTCCAAAACAAGCAACTCCCGTATATGTGAATTTCCCACCGAGGACGATGCTAGCAATTTCTCCCACGTCCCTACTTCCATCATTAGCATCCCAAATATTAATCATCTCCCTTACCACCACCATTCCCCAATCCATAACTCCACACCTCATGTCCTCTGTCCAAATGCGCCCAGGAACCTTGATCCACTTGAGGAAAACCAAACTTGTAGTAAACCCGCTAATGACATCCCAAGTGCCACCCTCTTTGCTTGTGGCCTTGTGCAATTCATGAGCTTCGTGCAACCCCCTAGCTTTCACATAAATTTGGTCCCATTTGCTCACATCTGTTCATGCCACGAAATGTCTCAACTGTGCTTCAACACCGTGGGTTGCATTCATGAAGACAACCGCACCTCTAGCCAGCCCATCAATAGTCAACTCACTAGATTCTACAGTAGATTCGTACTCTACAACCTCGATTGATATAATAATGTTTTTGATCTCGCCTTTCTGTACTTTTGCATTCGATGCGAACTCCTTCTCCTTAATTATTTCACCCAGCCACTGACCGCCCACTAGACTCCCATCATTGCACTCTTCATTAACTACACGACACTTCATCTTCATTCCGTACTTGGATCGATTAAACGAGCTTCTCATTTGGGCCGAGATCCCGGCGCCACAGGCTGTTTCCCCTTCCGTGATATCGGCTAAAGCAAAAAGGGTCTCAACTGACGCCGCGAACATCCGCGGCACCACCCGAGAGGCTGAAACTCGGCTGAGATTCCCAGCCATAGTAACGGCACTTGCTGCTGTCTCCTTGTATTCCTTTTGAAGCTCTGACGCCACAAAGTCTCCAGGACCACGAAAGCCAATATGTGTCATGTACTTCTCTTCATCAAACCCACTCCTAACAACCCATTCCAAGCCTACCTTTGGAGTTACAACAAACTCCTCCACTCCATAAATACATATGATCCTTACGTAAGAAGAGCCCCTGCATTCTCCCTTCCTCAGTTCCCATCTCGTCTTTGGCAGCCCAACTCCTTGCTTACCTTCTTCAGTTTCGAAACCCAATTGGCCACCCTTCGTCTTCCTATCATAATAGAACACCCCTTCGTCGAACCCGAGCTTCAACGCCCACAAGAACATGTCTTTCCCCAGCGTCGCATTCGGCGACGCATCACCCTTCCGCCGAACCCCGGCGTTTACTGCTCTCCTCGCCGGATCGATCACCGTACAGCACTGGCTCCCATAGCTTCCTACGATCTCATACTTCTCCCATGGGCTCTCATACATCCACGTTCGCCCGATTATCGGAGATTTTCTCATGCTTAACATCGCCTTTTGCTCTTCCTTCAGCTCCCCCATTAATATGTCTTCTTCCAATTTCCCGAAATGGAATGTCTTCCTTCGGAATTTCCAACCTGAACTTAAATGATCCAAATATGATCCAGAACCAACATATCTCTCTACCTTTTCCATGTCAACGCAATCAATAAGGCAAAATAGGGTTCCATCATCTAGATTAGGGATTAACGTGGGTCTTGCCTCATGTATATGCTCTGACAATGCCAAGATGATTATAGAAGGGGTGATTTGTGATGCTCCATCGTGCTTGTGCTCACCGTCGCGCGGTGCTTCTGCAGCAGCCAGGGACAACGCACAGGCCTGCGGTGTTGATGATGGAACGACAGTAGTAGAGACAGCTTCTATTGCAACGGCCTGAAGGTTCGACTGCTCTGCCGCCACCATTGTTGCGCCGTCGTTCGCACCCTCCTCCCCCTTCGCGCGCCCATCGCCCGCTCCTGCTGGCAGCTCGGGCGCCGTCTCTCTCGCGCGCCGCGTCGGGCCCGACGGTACGGAGACCACCTCGGACGGATCGGCTGCCTCTTCCGCGGCCGCTGCTATCCACCCGTGTTCCTGAGCCTCACGCTTGAGTTCAGATAACGTGAACTCTATCAGCTGCTTCGTACGAGCCCATGCTGGATCAGTGAGTTTCGAAGGACTCATGAGGGCTTTGATACCAAATGATAGAAACAAAGTTTCTATCGGGTTTGATATTTGGGGATTAGGGTTTATACGAACAGAATTAGGGATTTGAGAAAAAGAAGAAGATAGGGAATCGGGAAAGAAGAAGAACAGAATCGGCCTAGGCCTTAGAGGGATTTAGAACGAGAATTGAGAGGATAGGGAGATTAAGGTTTGGAAGCTTTTCTTTAATATTCTTCTTATTTTCGAATAGATGAATAACAACGTACATATATAGGAACAGAACCACAAAACCCTAACAATTAACCTAATACGACTAATAGACTAATTACTCTAATATAATAATAATTATAGAACCCGAACGGAAGTTGGTTTCTATCACTCAACCATCCTAGCTAGCTCTGTTGTTGTTTGTTATGATAAAAATGCATCATATGCAGAGTGTGGCGATAAATGTGCTGGAAGAGTACCATCTGATGAGCTTGACGCTGGAGTATCGACGGGAGTGCAGGCAGTCAAACTTGGTGGAATCACTGACCAGCAGCAGCCACGCCAATAGGAAAGCGGACGTGGTGGAGTTCACCCACCTCATTCGTCTGCAGTGCGACAAGGCCGAGATTGTTCGAGCCAGAACTGAGTGGCAGCCCAAATTGACAACCCATCTAATCTAGAAGACACTTAAAATTGGCACTCCGGATGTACGTGTCTTTCAGCCTAGCCTACTTGTTCTCATCTTATTGTTATGTTGGAATCAATCCGCTCTTGGAGATGTATTTCATTTCTACACAGCTACTCTTAAGTTTCACCATTTTGGGAATAAATATGGAGTTTGCGCATTGGTTTTCTTTTTGCCCATCAGAATCAGACTGGAACAACTCATGATTAATTAAGCTATTATTTGTTTGATTTCCTCGCACGCACGCACTCTTCTTGTTGAGGACAAAAGTGGCTTACTACCACTGAATAGTGTACTAATTTAACATCACATCTGTCCTACTGTTCTGTAAAACTTGGATCTCACAAGAATATATATAATCTATTGATGACGATATTGATGATAGTGACAGATATTGATGCTAGTGACTATATCGACCTTGATACGGAACTGGAGCTTCTAACTAGGATGAATGCGCTGACTATGGATATGATACCGGAAATAGACCGATTTTATATCACCCTTCAATTCGAATTAGCAAAAGCAATGTCTCCTTGCATAATATGGATTCCAAACATTCACGATCTGGATGTCAATGAGTTGATAACTTATGAGGACAAAAGTGTACAAATTGGCAAGTGTCAAAGATTGTTAAAACGTAAAGAACATCAAGATTTTTTAACGTGGTTTCGTTAATGTGACACTAGTATATGGTGAGGATCTCCCTCACAAGTTATAGGATTTTCTTATTTTCTACGATACTCTTCTTCACATGTTACACGAGTATATATAGGCTTACAAACCGAAACCTTAACCGAGCCATAACTTTGCACGTTGCAAACATCCCAATCGGTCCCATTCTGTATCCCCATGTAGTTAATAGTTATCCAAACTAAAACCGCAAAAAGGTGTAGTAAGTATAAGACGATGCAAACACAACCAGTAAGTACAAACTTATGGCGGTGACATGACTTGACATGACATACCTTAGTGTTGCAAGGGCGGCCTCGGATGGCGAGAAGTAAGCAGAATTCACAGCGCCTTTGTGCTTCATCTCCTTCAAACATCTGGGTCGGCCCTTGCGGATAAATCTCAAATCCTTGCAGTTTCATCCCTCGCACCTGTGGCCATGACCTTGGAGTCCCTTGGATTGAAATTTATGGTGTTGATCAGGTGGCTATGAAGAGCCAACTGCGAGGAAGGCTTCGTGTCCCACACAGTTAACACTCCCCAACCTTCCCCCATGTACAAGCTCTTGTCATCATTTGGCGGCTTCTATCGGCAGTTCAAGCGCTCCACCTTGTCGCGCACAAGAATAAACACCCCCCCTCTCAAGACCATCATTCGAACGTAACCATTGTAGTAGTTTGTAGCGACTCGTAAACATCTGCATCATATATATAGTACTAGATAATTGGCCCGCGCTTCGCTGTGGTTTGTCTAAAAATGTATATGACAATTAGATTTTGAAAAATACACTGATATAGCCATATTTATAAAAAAAATTAAAACTAATTTGACAAATTTGCCATTTCGGTTAGAAAATTTAACAACGTTAACTCTTCATTGATGTGAACGTACACGTAATCAAATGTGGACTACAAGTCAAAATCTTACCTATATAATGACACTTGTAAGCCACCTAAGTTTATATTATTATTTTTAAATAATTTATTTCATTATTATTTCACCACAATTTACCTTTCCCTCGGCTTCCCTTACAAAAATTCCTCGAAAGCTCCAATAAGCCACCCGTCGGAGAATGAACTCACCATGCCAGCAGCGGCGGATCCAGAACACAGAAGAGCACTGGGCCGCATTTCATTACAAAATTAGAACCGTAAAAAAAAATAATGATTATAGTTTTTTGCAATGTAAACTGTACATTTTAATTTAGGGAATGCATCAAAGAGTCTACATCCATACCAATAGTATACATTGTTTAAAATAAAATACTTGAGGAATCGGCGAGCAATTCATCGCTCATTTTGTTGAGTATACAGTAGTGTTATTTTATGATAAGATTGGGTTTAACTATAAAAATTATCAAGTTGAACATATTAAAATCACTACTCTTAATTTAGCCTAGAAATTTTAGCCCCAAAGATTATGCATCTAAAAAAACAAAGAAATATGAGGTTTATTCCCTTAAACTTTTTAGAATTTTAGGTTTCTTTGTTTTTTTGATGCATAATCTTTGGGGCTAAAATTTCTATACTAAATTTAGAGTAGTGATTTTAATATGTTCAACTTGATAATTTTTATAGTTAAACCCAATAGTATCATAAAATAACACTGGGTCGAATGTCTAAAATTGAAAATTTCATAATTACTATACTAACTACGAATCCAAAAGAGGGCTAGGCCGGGACCTGGGGTGGCCACCCCCTGAATCCGCCAGTGCATGCCGGCGACTAGTTCGAAAGTCGCATTAACTCCGACAACGACGAAATCAACAACGACAAGCCTATAGGTCAAACCCAAGATTCTTTCAGGAAAATCTAATCCCATGGTGGATGCTATAAGAAATTCCAATCAAATGCTACAGTCGAGAATCAAAATTTTGAAGTGCAGATCTAAACGACGAGTAGAGAGTTGGTAGGATGAGCGCTGTCGTGGCGGCAAGAAAAGTCATAGTCGGGGAACATGGGGAGAGGAGGGCAAAAGGATTGAAGCTCTTTTAACTTTGTTTGTGTCTCTTATTGTTTTGGTCAATCGAAGATCTACGCTGAAGAACCCAGAACTCCAACTAATTCTTCTAGTCCTTGAGAGAAGCGAGCTGCTAAAGCAGGCTAGATGGATTGGAGGGTCTCACCGGTGAGTTTTTGTGGGTTTCCACGTAAATGATTAGTTGAAGAGATAGGAAAATCGCCGGCGATCGGATCTGGGAGGCCGAGGGAGACAGAAGATTACTAGTGTTGGAAGAAGATGATTTTTCGTTCTATTGGTTTTTTTTTCTTCATGTAATTGCAATTAAATAAAAATAACATTTCCATCTGGCAGCTTTTTGACAAAAATTCACCACGCCAGCAAAAAAAGTTTGTCTAGTCAGCATCTATGTACCATGATGCGTTAATGTTATTGACAAAATGGATATATCAATGTATTTTTCAAAAATTGCCTATTATTGTCACAACGTGCAAAATTAAGGCTATGTAGTTGTATTAAGCCTTTTTTATGGGGAATGGATCAGGTCAGTAACCTTATGGTGAGTAATCATGAGTAACCCGTCCACATCAGCATGACATCAGCATCCTCTCTCTCCTGGAAAGCCTTTAATTTTCCACTCTTTAATCTTTGACGGACAATTTCTCACTCATTTTAAGTCGAAATTTAATTTTTTTTGCACAGTTAGATCAGATTAATTGTGATCTTCAAAATGATATCCACTTTAATATACTTTTAGAACAAAAAAATTGAGCCGTTTTTTACCAGTCTATACCATATGGTATTGACTGGTATTGAAATAAAAGCATACTTATGGTTTGAAAAACGTACCATGGTGGTATGAACAAACCAAGACTGTAGGATGGTTGAATAAATGATAGTAGAAGTATATTAATTGTCATTTACGACTTTTAACATTGTATACGACACAATACCACCTCGTACTAGGGTGGTATTGTATGGTATTTTTTGGTCCTGTAATCTGTTCAACCAGAAATTTGTAAATCCAATAGATCATGATGAACTCGTCCCTTCTGTGCAAACATTTTCAAAAACGAATTAAAAACGAAGAAGATACCATACAATACCACCCCGTACTGGTATTGTATGGTATTGTGTGGTATTTTTTTGTCCTGTAATTTGTTCACCCAGAAATTTGTAGATCCAATAGATCATGATGAACTCGTCCCTTATGTGCAAACTTTTTAAAAAACGAATTAAAAACGAAGAAGATACCATATGGTATGCAGTTGGTATCGAGATGCCAGAATTTTTTTTTTCTCAAAGAATATTGAAAATTGATCTCATTTTGTAGAGCACGATGAACTCGTTCCATCTGTGCAAAAAAAAAAAAATTAAAATCCGAGTTAAAACGAAAAAGATATGAGTCAATTAAAAAGGTAGAAAAAATAAAAAAAGGCCTTTAATTCTCCTTCCTTAGATCTGAATTTTCTAAATAAAGAGTCCAGATTTGGTTATTGATGGGTGCATAACCCATGGTTATGCACCCTATCTTGAGCCTTTTTTATGTTTTAGGTATAGGGTGCATAACCATGGGTTATAGTACACAAAACACAGGCTCAAGATAGGGTGCATAACCATGGGTTATGCACCCATCAATAACCAAATCTGGACCCTTTATTTAGAAAATTCAGATCTAAGGAAGGAGAATTAAAGACCTTTTTTATTTTTTCTACCTTTCTTAATTGACTCATATCTTTTTCGTTTTAACTCGGATTTTAATTTTTTTTTTGCACAGATGGAACGAGTTCATCGTGCTCTACAAAATGAGATCAATTTTCAATATTTTTTGAGAAAAAAAAATTCTGGCATCTCGGTACCAACTGCATACCATATGGTATCTTCTTCGTTTTTAATTCGTTTTTGAAAAAGTTTGCACATAAGGGACGAGTTCATCATGATCTATTGGATCTACAAATTTCTGGGTGAACAAATTACAGGACCAAAAAATACCACACAATACCATACAATACCACCCTGGTACGGGGTGGTATTGTATGGTATCTTCTTCGTTTTTAATTCGTTTTTGAAAACGTTTGCACAGAAGGGACGAGTTCATCATGATCTATTGGATTTACAAATTTCTGGTTGAACAAATTACAGGACCAAAAAATACCATACAATGTTAAAAGTCGTAAATGACAATTAATATACTTCTACTATCATTTATTCAACCATCCTACAGTCTTGGTTTGTTCATACCACCATGGTACGTTTTCAAAACATAGGTATGCTTTTATTTCAATACCAGTCAATACCATATGGTATAGACTGGTAAAAAATGGCTCAATTTTTTTTTGTTCGAAAAATATATTAAAGTGGATATCATTTTGAAGATCAAAATTAATCTGATAAACTGTGCAAAGAAAATTAAATTTCGACTTAAAATGAGTGAGAAATCGTCCGTTAAAGATTAAAGAGGGGAAAATTAAAGACTTTTCAGGAGAAAGAGGATGCTGATGTCATGCTGATGTGGACGGGTTACTCATGGT